AAAAAAAAAAAAAAAAAAAAAAGACAGAACTTATTCCTATTTAACTGTAATTTTGTACCCATGAACCAATTTTCACCTGCAAATGTAGGGCTAGGGATTTGGCTCAGTGGTTCTGCCACCTGCCTCACCTGCAAATGTACTACTTTTAAACACCAACCTTCCAAACACAACCACCAGGGATTGAACTCAGGACCTTGTGCTTGCCAGGCAGTCACAGTGCCACTGACCTACATCCCCAGCCCATTACTCTTAAACAAAAATGTTAGATATTTCAGTTTCAGGTGCCAACTAATCTTAAAATGTTTTAAGAATTCACTATTAAGTATGAGATTGTGGAACTGAGAGATTTTAAAAATCAGAAAACAAACATCAGACTCAAAATTTTTAATAACACGGGCTGGAGATATCTCTCAGCAGCAGAGCACTAGGAGGCCCTGGTTTAATTCCCAGCATGACAAGGAACAAACAAGACAACCAAAAGGCTGGTAATGTGCTGATTCATAATAACAAGCAAGCAGGGGTAGCCTATAAAAGACTACTCAACCCTATCTCGGAACACAAAATTCTGGATGACAAACATACTTTTCTGCCTAGATGATCTATCACTGCACCAGAGCTACAACTAATTACAGATAGAAAAGCAAGCCCTGGGTTTCTTTTTCTCTGAAGATGTTAGTATGCTTTGCTTTGCTTCGTTTTTAAGCAGGAAAACTTTATTTTTGTTCATGGTTCCAGAGGTTTCAGTCCATGGTACATTTTTCAATAAGTAGATTTTGTGATTTTTGCCTAAAGAGCATTTTTCACTATTTCAAAGCCCATTCCCTAGATTATTTTAAACAGCTAGTTCTAGGATAAAAGATTCATAATCATAAAACCCTATGCTAAGGGATCCAAAATGTGTAAGCTGATTCCACATTTTTTTTAAGAAGGCAAAATACAAATCAAGAAAGTTTCTAAATCTAAGAAAACAACATGAGTACATCAAACACACTGGTATTTTTCCAACATTGTCTTTTTATTAAAAAAAAAATTAAAGTATGTGTCAAAGACACAGCACTTTTTAACAAAAAGGCAAGTCAAAAGATGTACAGAGTGGAAAATAAAATTCATATGATAAAAAAGCATTTAGATACCAAAAAATCAGAAGACAGGGGTAAATGTTCATTTGGTAAAAATAAGCAATCTATAAAACGAAAGAAGTTTTGATTTTCTTGTTCTTTCTTTTAAATTTTAATAACACATGAAGCAGGTGGAACATTCCTTTAATCTCAGCATTTTGGGAGGCAGACACGAAGGATCACACGTTCAGGACACACATAAGCACAATTTATTTAAGACCTTGTTTCATAATTTAAAAAATAAATAAAAAAGACTAAAGAAGGGGCTCAGTGTGAAGACCCTGAGTATCAATCCCCAATATCGGAAAAAACAAAAAATTTAATGATACATGGAATTTTATTTATTATATTAATCTTGCTTATTATCCTTAATCTTGGAGCTGTTCTTTTATTAAGACGTCAATCTTACAAAAATTCTAAGGAATTCCTAAGCACTAAATTTTCAAATCCCATTTTAAATAGTGCATGAGATATAACAATGATATAATCTAATGTAAAATTTTTCATTGATGTTTATGGCTAAAAGATGTTTCCAATATGTATTATGAAATAAATGGCATACCACTTCAAGACATAACTCCGAGTCTAATAATTTTTTAAAAAACACTTTAAAACCAAGAAACTATCTTTCTAAATGACCTTAATGGTAACTAAAATTTTTTTTTTTTGAGAGAGGGCTTCACTGTACAGTTCAGGCTGGCCTTGAACTCACAATGTACCTGAAGCTGGCCTTGAACTCCTGATGCTCCTCCTGCCTCAGCCTCCAAAGTGCTGGGATTACAGACATGCAGCACCACACCCAGCCTAATGGTGACTAACTTTTCTAAATCTAACATGAACATTTTACTGAGTCAGGGATTTAGCTCAGTGGTTCTGGCAACTGCCTCGCAAGCCCAAGGGCCTGAGTTCGATCCCTGCTGCCAAAACAAAAACATTTTACTGAAACCATCAATTCAATTATTAAGAAATTTTCTCTAATCTGCTAACTCACCTAGCACCGGACAATGATCTCTGTAGAAAGAACCTCCTTTGGCATCCTGGACACACTTCAGATCAGACTAAGAAGAAAAGAAACCAGAAAAATCACGCATGAGAACAACAATACCTGAAATAGGCAAAAAAATTTATTCAGAACATAGCCAGAACAGAAGAATACCTCTGAGTTAACAATTACACTAAATGATGCTTTCAAAAGCTATAAACCTGATCTTCAGACAGATTTTTCTTCTTTTGAGACAGTCTCACTATGTAGTCCCAGCTGGCCTCAATCTCAAGATCTTCCTGCCTTGGCCTCCCAAGTCCTATGATTACAGGTATGTGCCACCATGCCCAGCTAGGTCATACTTTATTTACTTTTGGCTTCCTAATTTTAAAGCTCAAAATCTGAATTATAATAGAATCTTTAACATATTTTAAAAATCACATGCCAATAAAAGAACGATAACAAGTATTTAAAATGTGCATAACAGCACTCGGGAGGCTGAGGCAGGAGGATCACTGTAAATTCAAGACCAGCCTGGGCTACACAGTAAGTTCCAGGTCAGTTTCAACTACATAGTGAGACCCTGTCTCAAAAAAACCAAAAAATGATTTAAAAAATAAAAATAAAATATGCATAACACATTTATCCTGAAAGACTTTTACCAAAAAATCTTGTCTAAACTTTCCAATATGTTATGAAATATACAGAGTAATTTTTAACTTATTTTATAAATAAGAAAGTGAAGATAAATAGTAAACTGTCCAGAACTGAGCAGCAAGGACTAAGTAAATAAGGATACAACCAAATCCAGTCTCATGAACCCTTGCTTAATTTTCTGTGCTTCGACTTAGTCCCTGCTTCACTGTATTGTGGTTAGCTCAAGTTCCTCCTGTTACCGTTTTTTGGGTACTGGGGATCGAACTTAGGACCTTGTGCTTGCGCGGCAGGTGAGGCGTCACTGAGCTAAATTTCCAACCTGCTCCCATTATCTTTTATAAGAAAATGCTATTATTCAAGTGCAATAGGAAGGCACCAAAATGTGGACTTAGAAGAGTAACTTGGAGGTGGATTACTGTAGAAATTCAGAAGAAAATTTCAATGTACACTAAATGTCTAATACTGGTACCCTTAACAGGTGATCAGTGTATCTTACTCCATTAAGGAAAGGAGTTCTTCATACACACAGGAGGCAACTCTGTACAGCCTCTTTTGCCAGCTGAACATAGAGTGCCAGTCATTCCTGGCCAGAGATATGTGTCAAATTGTTCTAAAAAGATGCCTTACCCCAGCAATTCTTTTAGGAATTGACCCTAAATAAATACACGCCATCATGGACAAAGAAACATACAAGGGTGCTTGCTGACATACTGCTGGTGAAGAGGGTTACTCACCAACAGAAATGTCATTAAATAATGGCATGACCACCTATCAGAGAATTCTACCCAGACACCAATCTACGTACACAAACCAGTAGGAACATACAGTGCATAAGCCTTTGTTTGAAGCAAATACTCAGAACCCCACAAAAAATTCACAATTTAAAAACCAGCAGAGGCGTAAGATGATAATGAAGAAGTGATGACTGGTGCTAAATCCAAAGATAAAACTTAGCAAATTACTTACTAAAATTCTCATGGATGCCTTTTCTATATAAAGGGAACATATTAAGGAGACAGTAACTGATTTTTCTTTCCTAGTGAGATACAAGACCCTTGAAAAATAAATGAAATTTAATTTTTTTGAATGGGGAATATATAAAAGATTGCAACAAAAAAAAGGCTTTGCTGTTCACATGAATTATGATACAGATTAAACAGCATGGTCAATTTTGGAACAACAGTCCATGAAATGCAGACACTGAGAACAATTCACTGAATACGCCTCCATTATTCTCCTAAACCTTAAGTAATTTTAGGTATTCCTGGGTCGATCATTCTTTATCAAATCTACATTTCAAAAAAATAGGAAAAAAATCTCCTTAAAATAAGTTTAACTACAAGAACAGAGAATAACAATACACCACAAAACTTTATTATACCCAGTCAAGGACTGGACTTGCAGACGATTCTAAATGTTTTTGAAAGATTTTAGGAAATAAATCCTGTAGACTTAACCTAAAGGATTAGCTCTACAAACTTAAGATACAACAGGGTATCCAAAGGTTTACTGAAGAGTAAAAATCATTATTTTTTTCTTTTCATGCAATACTGGGGACTGAACCCAGGGTCTTCACACCATGCTAAAACCTCAGCCCTTTTTTATTTTTTATTTTGAGAGAAGTTTCTCATTAAGTTATGCCAATGCTGGGCTCCAACTTGGTAATCCTCCTGCCTCAGCTTCCCACAGTGCTGTATTACAAGTGTGTCCCACCGTACTGTATCGTATTTACTACTAAATGGTTTACACAAATATAGTAAAAACACAAAGGTCTTGAAAGTTTACTGAATTCTCACTTCACCGATTTCCCTGTGAATGTGTATATTCATGATTCAGATGGCTGTATTCTGAGAGACAGAGAGGAGAAAAGAAAAGAACACGAACAGGCTGGTATTTCCCGTCCCTCACCTACCCACCTCCATCATCTGTGCAGTCCTCACTACTCACCATGCCTTCAAAGCCCACTCGGTAAAGATTCTTAGCTCCATTATCCCAGAGAACATACGCCGCACTGTGCGGGCTCGATGCGCTCCAGTCCTGGATTTCCGTTACCTAACAGAAGTGAGGGAGGGAAAGAGCTTTTCAACAAGGGGAAGGAAGAGATTCCTTCTCTTAATTACTGTATTTAAATCTTTTAAATTATTTCACCTATCAAACTGTGCAATAAATACAACTACTTATTTGGCAAATATGTCACATCTAACATACAATGAAAGCCACATTTTTCCATAATTATAAGGTAATTTCTAAAACAACTACAGGAATTTTTGGGGGGGTACCGGGGATCAAACTTGGGTTCTCGCGCTTGGGAGGCAGGCAGCAGAACCACTAAGCTGAATCCCTGGCCCTAACAGGAATTTTAAATTTTACTTTAATTTTTTTTCCCTCTGAGTTTATTGTTACATTTAAGGTAAACAATAGCTACACTCATCATTGGGAGCTTGTACCCTCACATGATGTATCTTGGTTTTTATTTTCTCCCCATTCCCCTGCCCAACCTTCACCGCCCCCTTCACCCTTTACAGGAATTTTAAATAGTCTGAGGGATCACAGTAGTAGACTAACAGAAAATAATTTGATGTGAAATTTTTACACCCTTACATCTTTTAACTTAACAGAGAGAGGGCCAGGGATTTGGCTCAGTGGTTCAACCACCTGCCTTGCAAATGCAAGGGCCTGAGGTTTGATCCCCAGTACCAAAAAAAAAAAGGCTTAACAGAACCCACTTTCTGGTCTCCTTTGTCTGTTTTAGACAGAAGCTATCTTTCTCTCAATAATTTTTCCTACTCTTAAATAAATAAAGGCTTAACAGCAGCACATTCTTTTAAACCAACTATTCAATACGAAATTTACTATCTTTGAACAAATATGCAAAATGACTCCAGATAAGCTGGTTCCCTGGTTAGCTACAAGCTGACAAGCAGAAGATCCTAGAGAGCCTCCATGGCCATGTGCAAAAATGTCTGTCTCCTCCTGCAGCAGTCAGGGTCCCACTGGTGTCCCCAGCAAGCAGCCTGATCCAGAAAGCCCAGACAGCATTTCTACAACAGCCACCAGATGCCGCCTCCACACCCTGCATCGACCCAGAGATTCTTCAACTTACTTGATACAAATACACACATACAGGTTGTCACTGCTCAAGGACCTTGAGTCCAGCGCACAAAATGCCACAGAAAGCACCAAAGTAAATTGATCTAAAGCCCGAGCGGGAGCTGCACACGTGATCCAAACCACACTGCTCCGTTCGGGCACAGAACCCTTCACGCCTCAGAAACATACGCTGCCTTCAATAACATATCCAGGGACCTTTCTTTTTTTGCCCTGTTATGAACAATTTTGTAACCTAGGTATTCTATAATGCTCTTGTAGAAATAAAAGTTTCATGTTTAAGATCTAATCATTTGAGAAATATTTTAAGTCAATAGTAAATGAGGCCATTTATTCTTTATAAAATATAGCATGTGAACTATACAGAATAAAAAAGAGAAGTGAACACTCACATATTTAGTGCTCAGCCTTAGGAAAAAAAAGGACCACAGTACTCTTCAGACCCCTCAGATACCAACAGAGGTAACTGCGCCACCACCTTGAGGGTCCTCCTCAGTTCACCACCGCAGTGCCATGCAGGGCAGCACTCTGAAGTGAAGTACGCACCCTTTACCTACTGCTACTGCACATTCTACTGCACTGGTTAAGTGAACACTATAATGTTATAAATGTCTAAATTTTTAGAGAAAGAACCAAAAGGGCCAGGATGTAACTCAGTGGTGCCACACTTGCCTGGCAAGTGCAAGGTCCTGAGCTCAATCCCTGGTACTGGGCAGGGGAGCACTTGATGAGCTAAAGAGCAGACAAATTCTATTTAAATCAAATTCACCCTAAATGTCAAATTACTTGGAACCGAAGCAAGCTCAGTAATCAATTCTGAATCATTAAGTGGAATTCCTTCATCTGTTAGTATGATGATGTGAGTTATTATTACTGACAAAGAAACAATGTGGGAGGCATGAAAATAACCAGTTACACACCAGTTGTAATTCTGATTATAAAATACACGTGGAATGTCTGCCAGAACCACCAAGTGTAAGGTCACTGAGAAAACTTATGTAACGACACACCTGAGCACTACCTGCAGGGATTCATCAACCCTAACATCACTGACAGTCAGATACTCCGATCTACGTCCTCCAATAAAACGCACAGAAAACACACGCCGTCACCTGTGAGGTACACGTACCGAGACATAACTGAACCTTGCCAGGCGTGGTGGCACATACCTGTAATCCCAGCTCTGATTACAGTGGCTGAGGCAGCAGCATTGCCGATTTTAAGGCCAGCCTGGGCTACACAGTAAGTCCAGTCTCAACTATAAGACTCTGTCTCAAAATAGCTAAAAACAAAAAAGAAAAGCAAAAAAAGAACCTGAATCTAGTTAAGCCTCTAGTTCTAACACACCTAAAATTTACAGAAAAGAATACCATACACAACCAAATGTAAAGAACCTTCTTTCATCAACAAATAGCACTTTTTTTAATGTTCATAATTGTTAAAATTGGGTGACTGAGTACATAGAATGTTACTTTTTACTCTGGTGTACGTTTGATATTTTGCATTAAATGTGTTTCAAAGACAAAGAAATATGGCCAGGCGTGGTGGCACACGCCTGTAATCCCAGCACTCGGGGGGCTGAGGCAGGAGGATCACTGTGAGTTCGAGACCAGCCTGAGCTACATAGTGAGTTCCAGGTCAGTCTCAAGTACATAGTGAGACCCTGTCTCA